CTCTATATTTTAAATTTAATTTATATTTATATATATATATATATATATATATATATATATTATTATAAAAGCATTTACTAATATTAGTATCAACTGGATTGTTCATATTGTGATACCCCTTCATGACTTACCGTGGTTTGGGCACCATTTCATCAGGAACTGGCGTCCAGGCCAACTCGCTGTTTCGCTGCTCCTTAAACTTTCCATTAAACGCTTTCTCTATGTCATCCATGTAGAACGCACATACGGCAGAACCGGTGATGCTGAGGAGATAAAAGCTCTGTTGGATGTTTTTTTTTCTTTAAAAACAAACTCTTATTCCAACAAACAAACTATTCATAAACAAACCAAATGGATTGGATTTAAATAAATGAAGACAGTCAAATCGTATTGTGGTGAGACTCGGTACCTGTTGGCTTGAGTGGTAAAGACGCTTAACACCGCAGGCCTGTGGTTGATCTGCATGACATTGGTTAATGACTGAAGAACGTCAAAGTAGAAAAATGAATCGCCCGGAACCGAACAGTTTAACCGGGCTTTCAGGAAAGACGTCCAGTAGCGCTCTAGAACCCTTGGAGAGCCGCCATTATCATTCTTACACACACGAGCGACCCGAGAGAACACCACCTGGTGTAAGTAAATGAGACATAAGAAAAGTAAGGAAGTGCGAGACATTTTTCAAATGTACATGGGCAAATAGTTTGTTTTAAGCATAGTTAAATTGTTAGGCTTTTTCTAAAAACAAGAAAAAAAAATTAAAGTGTATGCAATTTTGCTTCAAGTTAATTTATATTGTTTTAAGGATGTTTACATATTTTTTTTGTGGAAAGCCAGACAAAAATAACTATATATTTTTTTGCAGGATACTGAAGAAATGAACTGAAGTGTCTGACCTTGCCAAGGGTGGTGTACTCTACTGCAATCTCACTGAGGAAGAAGTAGATGTAGTTCCCGTACTCAATGGCATGAAGAAAATGAGGCTCTAAATAAACCAAGACATGATTAAAAACAAGAACTGAAATTATACAGAAAATAAATGTAGGTAGCTGAATAACAGCAGACTCACCTCGAAGCCATTTTGAGTCGTATTTTACGGTACGCAGGACAGGACTACTTTCTCCTAAACTTCGGTAAATCACTGCATCACTTGCTAGAAAATCTGTCATTGTGGCTGAATAAAAGTCACCGCCTGGGAAGTGAGGTGAGAAATAAGTATGGATAAATCAAAACAACACGAACCCCACAAAGAAGAGCTCAGTTCAGTTCAGTGTGTATATGGCACAAAGAGAAAAAAGAGAGACGTGTCTCATCTCCCTCATGTCCCTTTTGAATCTCTGTGCTTCTGTGATCACTGCTGTCTCACTGCGACTTCCAGCGCTTTGTAAAATGTCAGTAGAACACTAGTGAGATTATAGGAGATTTCGTGTCTTCCTCCCCAGACGGCTGGTGCTCTGCCAACTCACCGGCAAACAGGCCAACGTTGGACTGGCGGGATTCGAAAGGGCAACGGGCTTGACCGACCACCTCCTCTCCGTCCTGCTCCAAAGACGACATCTGACCGGATAGAGGAAAAAAAAGCTCCCTTACACACAATGAGCCAACTAAAGAACCCTAGAAATAGAGCACTATATTCAATGTCTATTCAACTTCTTGTTGATTTGGACCCCATTGACGTTCAATGTTTGGGCAAAAAGAGGTGAGGGCGAGTAAGTGACTGAACGTAAATTTTTTGGGTGAATTGTCCCTTTAATATTGTAAATTCTGATTCAGAATCTTTTGAGAAAAGAGCTGTGATGCATTGGTGAATCGTTTACAACTACAATGAAATATATTTGGTTGTAAAACTATTTTCACTCTGAAACTGCTGTTAAATTTCACAAATAATTCTAAGTACGTTTCTTGTAAAACACTCCAATAATCTTTATTAAAAATGCCGAAAAACCTTTCCTTGCAGTGTCATTATAAATACCATTTAGGTCATGTTTTAAATACTGGTTGGTGGTTTTTGCACAGACTTTTGGGAGCTTGTAATCCAGTGTTGTATAAATGTGGGCCGGTGGGCGGTGTGTGTTCCATAGTTGTTTTGTTTTGTTTCTCTTTGGGAACTGTAGGTGTGAACAGTGTGCCAGTTTCTCTTGTTAGTCAGAGGCAGAGCAGAAGCTCCCGACCTGTGGTGTTCACAGAAAAAAACAGCGTGCTAACTGCCTTTGTTGGGTGACGCACACATATGTGTGTACAAATCCACACAGATATTAACCCTGCAGGGCTAGAGACGTCCTCACAAAGACGGCTGGATTACACACACGCACAAACACATTTAGCAGTGCAGCTGAGAGGGTCCTATGGGCATTCTGGTATTCAGGGTCACATTGTGTGCCATCCCTACCAGATTAACACCTACTGAAGCTCACCAGCACTTACACCGCCCTGTAACTCACAGGGATAGAGGGGAATTAAAGCTGGAACAGCACTGGATTGGTTCTATGTCAAAGAGTGACTATCTATACCTCTATTGAGGAAAGTGTGCCTGTTTGTTGTTTAATGTGTCTGTATAACACTTTAATAGAAATATGAATAACCTAAACCTTACTCATACAGGAACGAATGATAAAACACAGCAAAAACAGTGCTAGCAAAGCACCAATATAAAAATTTAGTCAGATAGTGATAAGATAGTGGTAAGTGTAATTAAAATTTATACAAGCAATAGATGAATATATGAAAATATGAGAGCATATGCATATAAAAAAAAAGAAAAGAAAAATCAGATACCTATATTTATATATACATATATATATATATATACACTGAACAAAATTATAAACGCAACACTTTTGTTTTTGCCCCCATTTTTCATGAGCTGAACTCAAAGATCTAAGACTTTTTCAATGTACACAAAAGGCCTATTTCTCTCAAATATTGTTCACAAATCTGTCTAAATATGTGTAAATGAGCACTTCTGCTTTGACGAGATAATCCATCCACCTCACAGGTGTGGCATATCAAGAATGGGGGCAAAAACAAAAGTGTTGCGTTTATAATTTTGTTCAGTGTATATATATATATATATATATATATATACACTATAAAACTAATATCTCAGCTGATAACACATATACATGCCTCTCTAAAGAAAACCTACATTACAGATGCTTTTGGTGCAAGAATCTTTGAATAACAAACAGACACTGGGAAATAAGCATGTACAAATAAATATCCAATATTGACCAAAACCGATAAATTCTAAAAAATCTTTTAATATCTCAGCTGATAACCGATATATTCTGCCTCTCAAAAGAAAATCTTCATTATGGATACTTCTGTTGCAAGAATTCTTGACTAACATAAACAGACATCGGGGAAAACATGTTATAATAGTCTAAAATGGCAAATTTTACTTTTCCAAAAGTCTCAAAACGACTATTTCTCCTCAACCTCTCTTTGCAGTTTTCCAGAAAGTTCTCCACAGTAATGTGTAACCTCGCGAGCTGTGATTTGAGAGTGAAGGAATGCATGAGAAGACGAGGCAGAGGAACTGAGTGACATGATTTGCACGACGTGATATATCGTCCTTCTCCAGGGCTCTAACAAACTGGCCTTCTCCTCGGAGAGATGCAGAAAAACGAGACGGTGAGTGAGAGAAACGGAGACAGACAGAGAGAGAATCGCAGGAGGAGGAAAGCGAGGGATATGGAGGGAAGATGTCTTCAGGGTAAGGTGCATAAATCAGGATCTCCAAAGAGCCTCAAACGGAAAAATTGAGAGCAGAGCCTCATCCGTGAGTTAAGCTGACTCCCTGCTGGCCTCCTCCAGAGTTTAGTCAGATTTACATGCTCTCTGGCAAACAAGCACACGGGCACACACACACCGCTCAGGAACTGGTCTGCTAATGTTGATGGAAACCATCAATCACAGGACAGGCCTAATTCTACATCAAACTAGTGATATGTTGCCTATTTGTGCAGGCAAACAAATTCCTTGAGATTCTTAAAGATCATTATTTCACATTTTCGAGTGAAACAGAATACTTTACTGGGAGGGACTTAAAGGTGCAATATGTAAGATTTTTTTATTAAAATATCCAAAAACCACTAGAACAGTGTTATATATTTTGCTGACGTGTGTACTTACATTATCCCAAATGTTTCGAAGAATGTTTAAATCCAGAGAAATAAGCAATTTTAACTAGTGACACGGACCTTGTCCATCGTGTCATTGCGTTGCATGCCAATGACATCATACACCCTCGATTTCCGGTTTTGTTTTGTAGAAAACATGGAAACACCAAAGACGCTTTAATATGTTGTGCGTTTTATTAGACAGGTGACGACCGGACAGTATTAGTATTATAACAGAATTTTCAAACGTATCTAGTATGATAAAACAGTGCTGCTTTACCCCACATACGCACCACCGGAAGGAGCGGAAGTGCTAAAGTGTGGCATAATAAAAGCTCAGCTGCTTTCGAGCCGTGTGTCACTCTCGTCTCTCATTAGCAATTGCTTCAGCGGCCTCGTTTCGCTTCGATGGCTTTCCGCCTCACTCTGCTTCATACTACGATGTTAATAAATCTTTAATACATTAGCTCATCCATGAACATGATTTCTGCCTGAGTCCCGTCGGATTGCGTCAGCTGTGGGGATGAAGACGACAACTCCCATGATTCCACACGCAGTCACGGCGTCATCAAACTACGCCTTTGTTTGTTTTGAATACGCGCCCTCTAGTGGTGAAAACTTACATATTGTACCTTTAATTTTGCCAAGTGTGATTTGACTGGATTGGTTAAAAGTTATGAAAACCTATGATATTATTGGTTAATTTTAATGAAAAATTAATACCAGGGACATTTTAAATAGAAACTAAAAAGGGTCATTTTGATTTCAAGCAGTCTTTTAAGCAGGATCATCATGAAAAAAGAAAACATAATACAATTATTTTAAAAAGCTATTAGCAAATAGGTAACAATTGATCACTGACTACTACATGAGCTAGAAATTTAAATTTTGAAGTCACTAGGGCTTCTTTTTAAATAAATGTAAAATTACTTGTGGTTCTCACATCTGACAGTTCTGGCAATAACAGCAATCGATCATCTGAGCAAATTATAAAGTCACATGACATTTTTTTCCAATTAATCTAGGAATTTATTCAGTAAATGCATCTCTATCATAGTTTATATGCACACTGAATAAATAATAGTAGTCTGTCATCTGAGTGAAATGATAGCAGCCAATCATATTAGTGATTTATTCAGTCACATGACCTGAAGCAAAGTCCCATGATATTTTGGACATGCATCTAGGAACTTATTCAGTAAATGCATTTCTATTGTAGTTTATGTGCATGTCTTCTCATTGACTAAAACTTTTATCCACCTTAATTTTTAATGTCCATTTTAATAATTTTATTTACCTCTTGGTGCTTACATCCAGCATTTTTTAGGCATTATCCCAAAATACACATAAACTCGGTTAATGTCTCACTAACATGCGTTAACATTGCTCATTGCATCTGCAGAAAAATGCTTAGTTTCACCAACAGCCAGGTTTGGTGGGAGAACACAGAACTCCCTCACAGCAAATTCAGGTTGCAAACAGGTGTGACAGGATATTAATTCATTTCTGAGAAGGAGCAGGGTATATAAATTTTTTGAAAAGGCCTAATATCCAAATTAATTTTAATGCTGACAAATTTAGGTAAACGTGTGCATTTAGACTGTCAGTTTTGATTCTTTAAAGGGAAGCTTTAGAAGTCTGCGCATCTGTAGGAGGTGTTTACAGTGCGTAAGTATGTGTGTGTAAGTGTGTGTCAGAAATAGACTCATCATACCTTGTAGTTGCGACATGTTGGGTTGAACGCATTGGTTCCACATGCAAAGAGAGTTTCATCGTTACGTGGCACCAGCACTTTGATGTAGTTGTAACATTCATCCTGTGAAAGACAAGACACTGGCTTTTACTCACACTATATATAACTCCTGATTGACACACACACACACACACACACACACACACACACACACACACACACACTGACTCATCTTGAAGCTTACAGCGAGCATCATTACGGACTCTCTTTTTCCCTCACTTCCACATACACAAATTACCATAATCCCTATGCTGAGCTCCAGGATCTGACTCACTCCCTGCAACTCAGTCTTCAACCAACAATGATATTATAAAGCCTGTGTGTGTTCGCAAATCTACATGTATATGCAGCCACCTGTGGAGAATCACTTAGTCTTGGCCCAGACCATCTACTGACCATACATACTAACCACAACACAGGAAAGTGCCTTCTTGATCTGGCAAGGTCTAATCTGATTGGCTGCCTTGACACAATTTTTAGGAATAAGGACAGTTTTTTTCTTACTGATAATTATTTTCATGTTATGGCCAATAATTGATAAACTGTCCATATAAAAATTCTACACTAATTTGCCTAATTACATTGAAAATAAAACACTAAAACATCCAATAAATCATTTTAAATGATCTATATGTCAGTCATGTGGTCTCTTCCTGTCTATGTTGGTCGTTTTTTCCCAAAATAAGCTGCAATGTGGACCAGACCTGCCGTTTAGATGAAAGTCTGGCTATGCGAGACTAATGACCACTAAAAGCACCAGTTGCTGACTTCTATCACAATTAAAGGGAGGAAGTGAAATAAAAGGGCTGTGTACTCACGCTGTTTTTCCCCCTGACTGTGCATTTCTCCACATCCTTTGTCTTCCATGTCAGTTTCTGCCACACAAACAAACACACAATCATGGGCTCATCGCTATTCACAACAGCTGCAAAGGGAAAATTTCATTTACTTCAATAACATAATAAACACATAATAAAAATAAAAAGGAGGAAAGAGAGTTAAACAATGAGGACTGAGCAACAAGAAGAAAGAGAGAGAGAGATCCCTGAGGTTGTTAACAAGCTGTGTTCAAGAGTGTGATTGTGCGTGTGTGTGTGTGTGTCTGGGTGCTTGCTGGTGTCATTAGGTCTGGTTGTATTGCAGAGATTTACTGGGCTGCCCCATGTCAGCCCACCCAACAGGAACAACAGGCAATCAACACCCACACACACATACAATGACAAGCTAAAAACAACACTCTCACTAACACAAATATTTGCTGCAGTGACATCTTACTCTCAACAGTTAAGATATTAATGTCAGAGAGACCCAAAAGACAAAAAGCAGAAAGCGATCTCTCCATGTGCAGACGGGTTCATCAACACTATTACATTCGATTGGATTACTGTCATTAACAACAACATATGATGGAATACAGTTTGATGATGGAAAATTTATTTTGCTATTTAAAACAAATAAGTATATATACTTTAACATTCAGAACTCAAGTTAATTGGTCTCTTAGGAGGGGGGAAAAAACAACGTACCTTGAATAAGGTACAAAAAGCTATGAAAAAAGGTACTTTTTCTTTTCAACAAACGGCAAGTGAAAGCAGAAGCTTAACCTTTTGAAAATGTTGTAAGTGAACCTCAAGCTAAACTGTATATGAGCAGTTTTATTTTCCATTCATTTTATATGAAGCCTGCAATTCACTATTATGAACATTTAGTAAATAATAAATAAACAAACTGGGGTTTGAACAGGGTTTTGGGACAGTTAAATGTAAAAAAAAAATATGTTTGGGTGATATAATATTGATATAATATACTTTTTGTAATTTGTTTTTTAATAATTAATAATTAGTTATGATATTGCTGTATAATTTTAGTTGTTTGATAGAGAAGGTCAAGAGTTCTGATGTGGAACAGACCAAAATGCCAATATTTTACCATATTTTAATGAGGCGATAAAGGCATTTCATGTGTTTAAAACGAGTTTGTTTTAATGCCAGCTTACTTTTTGTTATAATTATATTAATTATTGTTATAAGTTATAATCATTGCATTTCATTTGTTATATGAAATTACATTAAAATAAAAAATAAAAAAGCACCAAAATATAGCATATTTGTTCAAATTGCCAACCGTGTACTGCAGTAAGCTACACATTTCAGCACAGGTTTTTGTGAAAAATAATTTAAGCTTGTGAAGAGGCTTTTCAATAAATGAAACTCACCTGCAATGAGCTTGCAATTAACCTATAGAAATCCTACAGAATGTACAGTAGCATATAAAGCATATTTAATACCAAGTGTCACACTGAGAGCAGAAAATGGTTCTGTAAAACTAAATTACGGCTGTTTTTTTGTGTTAGAGACCTTGACTAACATTTCAAGTGGACCTCAGGGAAAAATGGACAGTGCTATAAAAGTGTGGAATATGCGTCCTTTAACGCCACCATAAAGAGAATTAATCATTTGAAAAATGGGATTTCTGAATGGTCCTTCCCCAAAGACGAATAAAAGTCAATATTCCAACATCACGCATTCACAGCACTGATCTGAGAGAAAGAAAAACATTAGAGATGACTGAAACAGGAAGTTGAGAAAAAGGTGAGCTTACCTGTTGGGGGAAGATATGCTCCGCTGAAGCACTGAGGTTAATGGCAAAAACGTGATCTCTACAGAGACACAGAGAGAGAGAGAGACAGGAATGCCAATATTCTCATCAAGTATTAGGGCAAATGAGATTCTTTCTGCCAGTTCTTTCAATAAATAACAATACAGTGCCAATAACACCTTGAGCTGAAATGAAAGGGGCAGAGGACAGCTAAAACGAGAGCGAGAGAGCATGAGTGGTGAAGAGACAGACAGAGAGGAAATAGAAGGGGTGAGAGAGGTGTCAGAGAGCGAGCGAACATCCATCTGTCTGCAATCCTGGTCTGAATGAGACTGATTGGCCCAATCACACGACCCTTATCAATAGTGTGTGGGTCTTACTGCTGCAGGCGTCTGGATAAACAGCACTAGTGTGTACCGATCAGGAGGTCTGGAATTCCCAGTCGATGTTGCATCTTGAATCTTTTGAAATGTGTGTGGCTGTGGTGTTGTGTGAGTGTGAGATTGAACTGGCATGACATACCTTGCAGCAATGTAGACCATGTGATTAATCCGCAGCATCCTCTGAAAATCCAGCCCCAGTCTGGCGGTGTCGTTATCTGACATGTTCCCCTGGAAACTGGGATACAGGTAGGTGCCTTCATGAAAGAGAGAAAAGACTGGGTTAAAATCAGCTGGAAATGCTCACTGCCTACCATCTCGGTGTCAATGATGCACCTAAAGGATTATTCTTATTTTAATAGCAACATTTTTTCTAATTAATTTGTTAACAGCAAATAAATGTGTACATTTCATCACATTGTATCTATACTTCTTAGGACTATTCATACAATTTTAATAATAACATTTTGGGTGGTCAAAACATTAAAATTTTTTAATCAGTATTCGGCTAATTAGCCAATTTTCCAGTTAAAAATAAATAAATAAATACACTTGAAAATATTAATTTGTCATAACTTTTACAACAAAAAAAAAGACGACTAATAATCGTAAAAAATACAAAAAAAGTATTTAAAATTGTATTTCTTACTCCAAATAATATCTTATTGGCAAGTAGTTTGTTTTTCATATGCCCATATAAAAAAGATTTATGCTTAAAACATCCATGAAAGAATAGCAATTTACTTAATTAGCATAACAAAAATAAATACATGCATACACTGGTGACCAAAAGTTTGGAATAATTAAGTTTTTTTCATTCTTTTGAAAGAAGTCTCTTATGCTTATTCTTGACCAAAAATATAGTAAAAACAGTAATATTGTGCAATATTATTACTATTTAAAATAACAGTTTCTATTTGAAAATATTTTAAAATGTAATGTATTCCTGAGATGGCAAATTAGTCGAATTTTCATCAGCCATTAGAATTCGATTAGAAATGTTGAAAAATGTTGTTTTTGTTGTTGTTGTTTTTGCTGCCTAATATTTTTTTGGAAACTGTGATATACAACTGTGATATAAAATAAAAAAAAAAAAAAAAAAAAAAATACTTATATGAATACATATAAATTTAAGATATATTCCCTAAAAAGGGGACATAACACACACAGTTTCCATCTGCAAGCTGTGACATCGACATACATAAAACAGGAACAAAAACTTTATTGAATTAAATTTTATTTAATTTGTTTATAAAACAATCACAATCATCACTGAAATGCCAAGAAGAAACAAACACACTTGCACAACTCTTTGTTTCTGCCCCGGAGAAACAAACTGCATGCACTGTTCCCTTAACGCTGGGTTCTTTGGGAAGCTGAACAAGGTTATCTTTCCCTCACAACCAAAAAAACACACTTCTATGGGGACTGTTGATTTTGTGGACTAAAAACAAAATGACAAATCCTTCTCGAGCAAGTCCTGTGTAGCGCTGCCGACGACTTCCGTAACCCGAATGAAGCACGTTGATGGCCTGCTCTTGCTCTCGCTCTTGTTGATGAGTGCGCGCGCTCTTCCTGGAGAAGTGCCCATACAAGGAATTCCACCCTTTACGATGTCATGACGGGCCATGCTCGAAAAAAACTTTCCGAAACTAATATGAACCCTGAAGGAGTGTATTTGGCACAGAAGTCACACGTCCAACTTGTTTTTTGAAAATTTGGCCACGTTTAGCATGAGAATCCAACTCTTTAACAGTGTAATTAAGTCAGAACGCATGAAATAGCATTAGACCTCTCCTTTAATTCATATCTTATGCAATTTTGATAATTATAAGGACATTTAAATATTTTATTGGAAAACAAGACAGAAATTCTGATTAACAATATGTAGCATGGAGGTTTGATCAATTTATTTCTGTCTGGGGATCTTGATCAATAGAAAAATCAGCCCCCATACATCAAAAACTGTTTCATGTTTATAATGATACATATTACAGATCTCATTTTGCTGCAAGCAATGTTGATAAGTGTTTACACTCACAAACATCATCTGCTAATTAATCTCATTTACACTTAAATAGATTAATTTCTAGCACAATGTCAAAGATGAGTCATGAGTCACTTTGGCATGCTCTTCTTTCAGAGGCCGAGTGGGTTTTTAGACCCGCAGAGACGTCTACAATGACCTGCAGGGACCTTTAATTTGCAGGTCTGTTTGGAAAGTAGCAGCCACAGGGTGACAAATATGACCTTGGGGTGAAAAGAAAATCTGGCCGTTTTAATGATTCCTGTTACTACAGTTATTTATGAAGCTGTGTATTGTTAGAGTTCCTCCTGTGCTTGGCAGACCACAGGTGGCCGCAGCCGGAAACCGACGCTCGCTCTGATGTTCAGGAACCACAGTAAACAAACATGCAAGGGTTAAACTGGAGCTGAATCTTCACTCTCTTCTCAAAGACACTGACTGGGTAAACACCATCATCTGATCTCGGCAGGATCATCACTCAGTAAAGATCACCCAGAGTGTCTGCATCTCAACACAGAGCCAGAGCCAATGAACCAGTGATATGAGAAAGAAAATTCAATCCACACGACTCTCACAAGTCTGAAAATCACTGCATGAACTCACTGCATGAGAATATTCTAGAAATCTCAGCTTCGTTCTTTAAAATAATTCAAGATTATTCTACCAAACTGCAGTTATAAATTTTAAAGGCAGGAATACACTTTTGAAATATGTACTTAGGTTTTAAAACGTTAAGTATCATACACTCGCTGTAAACAGGCATCGTACACTAAACGACTGAGGATCACACACTACCAAATTTTCAAGTCGTTCTAAACTCATGCAGAAACATGCACCTCGTTGCTAGGAGAAGCATGACAAATAAAAACAGTGTGTTCTAAAATCGTCTCAAAATATCAAACATTTTTGATATATCTTACCCTATGTGATTTTCTGTGAAACTGTCAATTTCAACTGCCCAAAATGTGCTGACTGGCAGCTAGCATCAACTCCAGCAGACTGCAAATTGGGGCAAACATCTGGGCACTGTAGTGTATTCCAGCATATTTACTAACAGGTCTAATTCATATTTTTATTCTGTCAAGACTCAAATACTCTGGATGAACAAATAACCAAAGTTTGTAGGTACGCAGTCAGGTGAAACCATCAGGCCCGTTTATAACGGGGTCTACAGCTTATACTAAACCTCTGTTTCGTTTAGTTAAATGTACGATACTTGCATTGCCTTGGTCGTTGACGAGTGTCCGGATGCAGTTTCGGATGAAAGTCTTAATGGTTTCAAGGTTTTGGACTTGCGATCATGTTCTTTCGGGTTTGAAGAGTGATGAATTCCAAAGATGTTCTGACTCGATGGTGATTGGGAGTTTCTTCCCAGTGGAAAGTGAAAAAGAGCTAAGAGACATCAGCTGAGATCCTAGGATCTTTGGTGAATGGAAAGTCAAGGCCGAGGCCTGGCACGAACTTGGGGTGTCCTTAGAAGTCTAGCTCAGCGTCCCCATCTTCTCAGAATCTAACAGAACTGCAGACTGAAGGCGGGTCACTGATGTGAGGCCTTTATCTTCTATCGAGGTCACTCCTCTGGGATTTGAGTGAGCCAATGAGGAATGGTAACTTTGGAGGGAAATTTTACGACTCTTTGTCTCAGAGCATGGTATTTTGCATATGTAATTCGATTGGGTGTTGATGCAAAAACTACTAAAGATTC